CAGGGGATGCTGGAAATGCAGACTGGGTCCCTGAGGAGATTCTGTTGGTGAGCATTGATTCACATCATGGGACTCTGAATGGGCCGTAGGGTAACACAGAGGATGCCAGGAGATTCTATAAGATACAATAAAACAGGATGAGTGCAGGACCTCACGGAATATGATTGCAAAGGATGGAGAAGACCTCCACCATGCGGCAGGAGAATGGATCCTCAGAGAAGCAGACAGATGACCAGTGAGTCCACTGACCCTCTAGTAACCAACAGCAGGAACTTTCTGAGGGAGACGCGGTTAATGGCAACACCCTTGACTCCTATGTCCGAGAAGGAGAAATGGAGGGAGTTGAAGGGAAGAAACAGTGGAAGAGGAAGGTTTGGTAGCACCCTGCCAACTCAGCCCAGATGAAAAGTGTGAGAGGAACTGAGAGATGACCCTTTGGCTGGCAGCGCAGAGTTCTCAGTGTCCTGGAGGCCGGCTCCCTGCAAGCCTGTTAATGGTGAATGTTTCTCATGCTCTTTTTTGCCAAACGTGACAAACCCATTCTCCTTCCTCCTCAAAGTCAACTGAGTTATTCACTCAGTTAAATCTATCGTGACTTAAGAAGTACATGATTAGCATGGAGAGGGGGTTACCTTTGTTCCTTAGTCACATAATTACTGAAGACATGAAGGAAGATTCCAACAACTCAGGCCCCTTCCCAACAGGTCAAATACCTGGTTTTTACAAGCAACTAGCTTCATTTTTCTGAGAAGCTCTGAGGACTACAAGTCTATTCTTGAATATGTTTATAATAAAAAAAAGGAAAGATAATGTGGTTATTTGCTAATTGCTGCAATGATTAAAGCAAGATTTCTCAAGTTGATCCTTTCATGAGACCGGCGGCCTTTTGAACACAAACAGCATCTGACACAGACAGTAATAACGAAAGCCTGAGAACAGGGAAGCAATGCCAGTTCTCTTCGGTCGCCGCTGACTTCGAGTCTGCACAGTTTAAAGACTCTTTGGTTGGGACTATCTTCTGGTGTTTCCGTGCTATACTGTGATTAAGCGAAACTTCAGCAAAAAAAGATAGTTGGAGGGAGCTGAAGGGAAGAAACAGGGGAAGAGGAAGGGTATAGTGGTTTTGAAAGTTATACAGGTGGATTTAAAAAAAAAAATTTTTTTTAAATCTAAATTTTCTTAGCAAATTTTCTTAGCCTAAATTTTCTTAGCAAAAGTCAACTGAGTAACACACAGTTTGGAAACATTTGGATAAGAGAAAACAAATATCTGATTACAGTACTTGAAATTTGAAAAAAAAAAAAAAAAAAAAAAAGAAGAAGAAGATGGGATCGGAGTGAGGAAATGGTGGAAACATGACAAAGAGGAGGTCATTCTAATGAGAGAGGCAGCCTGGTCTCCTGGAGAGAGACTTTGGTCTTTGGAATCGGACCTTCCGGGATGTGAATTCCAGGTGTGCAGACTCCTAGCCACAACACTCTTGGGAAAGGTGCACTAAGGTTCTGAGCTTCAGTTTCTTAGCACGTTATGAGGCATATGGGAAATAGAGGTTGGCTACCTCTCTCTCCACTCCATGTTGCCACCCTGCCACTGATTCCCCACCCTCCTTCTTCCCCGGGACCAGGCTGAGCGCAAGCCTTGTTCCTAAGGCAGCTGGTGAAGGAAAGGTTCAACTTGGAGCCGGAAGCCCTGGACTGGAGTCCCCACCTTGCGCTGAGTGATCCGCCACAAGTTGATTCAACTTCTCAGTTTCTCACCTGCAAAATTCCCCCCACAGGACAGCAAGGAAGTTAAATGAGATGATTTTTTGTGAAAGTGTTGTGGAAAGTACCTCTGTCTTCTATCTTATGAACCAGTAGGGCACCAGCAATCTTAAAATGACCAAAATGATTCCTAATTTCCTACCTAAGGAGCCGATTCCCCTTTCCCCATGCAGTTCTTCCTTTTCTTAAAAAAAAAAAAAAAAAAAAAATACTTTTTAAAGAAAGTGTGGATTCCAGAGCCAGAGTCTATCCTTTAAAAACTTTCAAGCATTTTTTTTAACTTATAGAAGGCATTATAACCCATAGCCACTCAAACTTTTATAAACAAGAGTTGCAATGTGAAAAAACTCACCTGCTGGGTTTGCCTCTATGAGCAACTATTGTTCTCAATGCAAACTGAATCAGAAATTGTCCTTGTATTTGTTTCATTTCTGGAGTTTCTTCTTTCTTTTCTGTTAAAAATACATAGAAGCATTAAAAAAGTAACGATTTCCATGTTTTATAAGGAGAAAAAGGTGTCAAAGGAAAAGAAAATGAACTTGGCATGCAAGTGAGTCTTGCTCTGGAATGCGGGTGGGTCCAGGAAAAAGCACAGACCTCAGTGGAAAACATACATGGGTGTGTGGGCAATCCCTGTAAACTATAAACTGACTACACAGTGCTTGAGCTGGTGTGGAGAGAAACCACAGTGCTGTCTGAAACCAGAGAGGAGGGGACAGAGAGTAAGTTTTGCACCAAAACAGTACAAAGTGTCCCTGGGAGTCGGGGCTGCTGGTAATTCTCAGCAGGCTTAACTGGATCTGTTGAAAGTGGCCATGGTAAAGCCCCACTGTTGCACCCTGGGGCTCTCTGTGGGATGACCCTAACTGTATCATCCTGGAACCCCATGGCCTGACTCTGCTTCACCCACACTTCTTCCCAGCACTCCCCAACAAGGCCCCCTCTTCAATTGCTCCTGTATGCTTCCCCACTTCACTGCCATTGCCTGTGCACTTCCATTTCCTAGAAAGCATTCTTTCCCTTTTCTATCAGAATCTCATTATCTACCCTCAAAGCCCTTTAAGGCCTGTCGAGACTCAGCTTTCCCTTCCCCATGGGGCCTAACCTCTTCTACCCTTTCTAAATGTTATCTTCTCCAGGCTGAACAAAACCTAGCATGTCTCTGTGCTACTCAGGACTCATCAGATGCTGTGTCCTGATTCATTTGGTGTTGGTGCATCCTGCATCGCTAATCAGATTAGCTAGCCCCTGGAGGGCTGAGAGCACACTGGACTCAGCTGAGCTAGAATCAGCTCCCCTTTGCATCTGAGCTGAGTGCCTGCAACTCCGCGTTTGCGATCCTAGCCCAATGCAGCCTGAACTTTATTATCTCTCTTTTTACCAATGAGGCAACTGAAGATCAGGGAGACAGTGTCCTTTGTCCGAAGTCACCAGCCCAGTTGCCTTTCAGAAGGCATCTCACTCCATCTTCAGGATGACCCCAGAGGGTAGACTTTCAGACTTTAACTCTCCTGTAGGTTATAACCTGAGATCTGAGATTCGAACCCAAGTCTGTCTGGCTCCTCACCTGTACCTTTCCCACTAAATCAGATTGCCCCCATCACCAAAATGCTGAACATGAATTTGAACATGGAATTATATCAAATGAACTTGTGGTCATCTCATTTTGTCAAAACTAAGAGAACACGAACAAAAATCAGCAAATTTTACCAGAGCAGTGTGTTTATGGCAAGACCAAGGCAAAACTTAATTCCTCATTCTTTGCTGTATAGTAATAGGCTGAAAAGGCTCATATGTGTATTCATATTTAAGGGAGTGTGTAACTGTTTTACCTGAGTCAACGTATAATTCCCTGTATGTTGCATGCATCATCAGGAATTTCATATGCAGCAGGTATGTGTACAGCCTGATGTCTCCAACAGCCAAAGGCATTTCTGAGTGGCCACCTCACTCTGATCTGGCGAAGCTGAGTCCATCTAGACATTGGGAAGCCCCAGGCCAGCCGTGTTTCTGCTAAATGGACCTTTCCAAATCCTTTCTGAAACAAAACCAGGCTGGGCATCTTCAAGAAAAGATCCCCTTGTAAAGTTGGTGTAGCTGCTTAGAGTCTAGTCAGTCTCTCTGTGCTTTTCTTTAAATTTTCCTTCACAGAAAGCTAAAACTTAAAGAGGTTTCAGAAAAATGAGTCGGACCCCACCTCCCAGTATCATTGAAGAAACTGAGGCTTGGAGGGGCTGGGTCACTTGCTTGAGGCTTTGTAGCTCCTAGAAGAGCGTTTTCTCTGAATGTGGTCTAGAAGTCCTCACCAGGCCTCCTCCTATCTTAGGTGGAAACTAAAGAGGAAAAGATGAAGCCGAACTCAGGGAGAAGCAACATGATTAAACTAGTTTCTCATTTGGCCACAGAGGTCAGAGGAGTCAGTAGAAAGAAACTGAAAATCAGTGAAACACTTGCAGTTTTAAAAAGGCATGCGATTCGTGCTTTTCCCAAACTGTTGAAATGTGTTTAAAGGTCCTTTCTGGAGCTTTCTCATTGCTAATGTGCTCCTAGAAAAAGAATTCCTGGAGACTGAGCTGGGTGGTATTGGAGTATGCTTCTCAAAGCAATGAGCTTGTGTGCTACACTGCTTAGGCCACATGGTCCCTCAGACCTGGGCTGCCAGACATGGCCATTCTTGTTCCATGCAGATCATGCCCATCCTGTGCAGAAGGCCAGTCTAGGAACACATTTGCACAGGGAAGAAAACACCTTTAGAAATTCACATGGTGCTTGTCTAAACCGAAGGCACCGGAAGCCGCTAGCATGCTCCCATTTGTTTCTAATAATTTCTCCGCCTTAAGAGGCTGCTTTAAAAACAAACGGTAAAAACCTGCGACCCAGCACCACAATTGAGACAGAAAGCATGGGACTGACAGTTTTAAGAATTACTGGCCAGGTGTGATGGCTCCTGCCTGTAATCCCAGCACTTTGGGAGGCCAAGGCGGGTGGATCACCTGAGATCAACAGTTGGAGACCAGCCTGGCTGACATGGTGAAACCCCGTTTCTACTAAAAATACAAAAAAAAAAAAAAAAAAAAAAAAAAGCCAGGTGTGTTGGCAGGTGCCTGTAATTCCAGCTACTCAGGAGGCTTAGGCAGGAGAATCACTTGAATCCAGGAGGCAGAGGTTGCGGTAAGCCAAGATTGCACCATTGCACTCCAGCTTGGGCAACAAGAGCAAAACTCCATCTCAAAAATTAAAAAAAAAAAAAAATGACTAAAGTGTGAGACTTGCTCTGATTATTTTTCCAAGGATTCAGAGCCCTTTAGAGAGAATTCAAGAGGAAGAATTTCTGGTGACTTCTACCACCTCTGAAGAATTAAAAAACACACTCGTGCGGCTTTCCAGGCCTCTGTGGTAGTTAGTTCTGCTTGGCAGTTTTTGTTGTCAAATTGCTTTTAAAAAACCTTGAGCTCTATCAGATATAAATACCTTGTGATGCCAAAGGACTGTCTTTCACCCATGAAAACTGAAGCCATGTGCCAGAAGCCCTCGTGGCCAAAGGGCTCTGTCCTTGGACACGGATGAGGGCTACTGGGCGGTGGGACTGAGGCTATGCCTGGATGCCCAGCTTCTGCAGCCAGAGGTGGAGAGCTGCTCCTGCCTACTGGCTCAGCCAGCAGTGGAGCACGCAGCCTGCATGCTTGGGTTCCACACAGGCTTCCCCCTGCAGAGTCAGGCTCCTTCAGCACTTCCCCAGATCTCTGGAATCTTCAGCTGAGATTGGGCTCCAGCACCTGGACTCAAGGTAAGGCCCCTTAGGGTGCTTCTAACTGATCAATCAGGGTAGTGCAAAGGAAGAAAATGTTGAGATTTCTGGAAGATTCAATCAGAGTGACTCACCTTAACCTCAGGCATGATTTTCCCCCATTATCCACTCTTTTAGATTTCAAGTCGTATAATTCTTACTGATCTGAAGAAGACTTCTGCTTCTGAAACTACCAGTGCTTAACAATGATTGAGCCCCACTCTATGAGACTGCAAATAAAAATATATTAACCTTGGCAGAAAATCAACTGATTAATACTTATACCTGACACTGTAAAGACTGGAACCTCAATTTATCGGCATAAACAGAGGCTTTGGGCATAAAACTAAAATGTAGTCGGTTATGCCAAAGACTGCTTTCAATAGGAAGGCACCAAACATACTTTTGAAAATAATAAGCTAGTCATTTAAATTAAATATACAAATAAATAACTTTCAGAGTTAGTTCTGAGTTTTAAGCCTTAAAGAACTTGATTTCAGTGACAAGGTATATAACAAATGCAGCTGTTAGAAAAAGGACACATACTGAGGTTTGTTTCTTTCAAGATTATATATAGTATTATTCAAAAGTCTTATTGTATATGAAAAGTAACAAGATTTTTACAGTATGAAACAATAGTAGCTAGCCGATACCCTACTTATCTTTACAAATTGTCTAGCTGGTCACATTTTACCTTAATTTTTCCGGATCTAACCAAGGCCTGGTTAACTCTTACTGGCAATTTTTGAAAAGGATGAAAGACGTCCTACATATAGTCCTCTAAATTAACCTGAGTGCAGGAAGACAAGTCATATTTGCATAACTTTTTGTATCCCTAGCTACTGTCATCCTAGTATTTGAAAAGTTCCTTTTCTCCCAATGTTCACAAAGTCATTTTCCAAACTTGCAAATATTAAAAGCTGTTCATGTCTAATGCTTTTCTGCTTGGTCTATTTCCATGTCCTGTCAATGACCTATCAGTTACCCTATTTAATTACCCATGTCACTTGAAATTTCTCCCACCAGAATTTAGGTTGCATATTTTCACAGGGCAATTTATTTTAAAATCAGAATGGTCCATAAAACTAACAGCTCTGTGTGCACAGACCTAAAAGATTTGTAGTAGCTCTGCAGCTGCATTTTTGAACATCAGTAGTTAAACAATCAACGTAAATGTTAAAGAAGTAAATTAACTTTCAGAATTTCACGTGTGCTCTACCTTTCACCATTGACCATGCTGAAAGAGGACTTTGAGGTCATTTTGTCTGACCCTCTCATTTTACAGATGAGGAAAACAGGACTAATTGATAGCTAGCGATACTAAATTATAGCTCTTCTAGAACTAGATAGCGGAGTGAGTAGACTTCTTAATGTGCTCAATTACTGTATGGATTCCACGAGCTGAGGAGCGTGCTGTGACCTTGAGCGTTTACATTCTGTGGTTTTCAAACGTTTATGTTTCTAATGTGGTATCTGTAAACCCCGGGCCCCAGTAACCTTTACCACGGAGGCTTTGCCAATCCCAACTCTGGGCAGCCCACCTCTTCCGTACGCAGCCTGTGCTTCCAGGGTGTTCCACATGGGCAAAGCCACATTAGGGGTAAGCAAAGACTCGAACTAGCGTTCATATTTTAAAAACTCACAGGGACCTGCCTGCTGGCTGAATCCTTTCTTCATCTCTTGTTGCCTCTCCTACATGTGACTCAAAAGCTAGCAAAGTTGGTTCCACATCCTTCAGCTTATTCCTGTTACACCTAAGTGCCATACCTTCATTCCCTTTACTAAGATCACACTTCTCCAATTTCTATTCTCTTCTACTCCTCAATAAATAGGAAAATACTGTCTGTAGAAATGCATGTGGAAGAGCTGGGCATGGTGGCTCATGCCTGTAATCCCAGCACTTTGGGAGGCTGAGGCGGGCGAATCACCTGAGGTTGGGAGTTCGAGACCAGCCTGACCAACAGAGAAACTCTGTCTCTACTAAAAATACAAAAATTAGCCAGGTGTGGTGGCACATAATTGTAATCCCAGCTGCTTGGGAGGCTGAGGTAGGAGAATCACTTGAACCTCGGAGGCAGGGGTTATGGTGAGCCGAGATGGCGCCATTACACTCCAGCCTGGGCAACAAGAGTGAAACTCCGTCTCAAAAACAAAAACAAAAACAAATCCACGTGGAACTCATGCACACATTTTCTATAACTTGTCTTTCTTCCACTTCCCCACAACTAGAATATAAGCTTCAGGAGAGCAAATGCCCTGTCTGCACTGTTATATCCCCTGTGTCTAGTAGAGTCAAAGATAGTAGGTGATGTGTAAATACATGTGCAATAAATATATCCTTTCGTCTTTCCTTCCTATCTTAGGGGAGCAGATGTCCCCTCCCTTTCGGTCTTGCCCCCCTAATAACATTAGTGCTTCTTTGTCCCTCTTCCAATATTTGACCTCTGAATCATGTCCCCTTTCTTGAAATCTTGCCTTCTTCATTGTCTTCTTTTATGAATTTACATAGGTGTCCAGACATCTGGCTGCCCTTTCTCCAGCTCTTTTGCTAGAGAATCCTGTCCTCTTCAATACAGGCAGTCTCTAAGGTTGCCCCTTCAGTTGCTTTCTTCCCTTGGTATTTTTCCTTTTTTGCAGTTCTCATTGACTCCTATCTGGTCAACGTTTACTTTTAAGTACAATGATTCTTTAATCACCACCTCCAGTCCCAAATTTAATTCCTAGAGATGGAGATGCTTGGAGCCAACCTCACCATGTCACCTTCAAGACCCTCTGCTTTTCATCCAAATCTTCTTTTCCATCCAGGCAGCAAACTCCAGGGGCCTTTCCGCTCCTGTTCAACCTTCTCTACTTCACATTTAATAGGCGTGTGAATTTTACCTGGTGGCAAACCAATGTGAGTTCATGTATTACTTAGACAAATTCAACAGCCTACTAAATGATCTCCTTATAGCTGCTCTCCTCCCTCTCTATCTGTCTTGTTAGATGAACCTGGCTTCTTTTTTCCTGCTGAAAGATTAAATATTTCAGTTTAAAATTCATTGCCAGCATAGTTCCCAACATGGCCTCCTACTAGTTTCTCAGAAATTAGTCCTAGCTACTCTGGAGGCTGAGGGATGAGAATTGCTTGAACCCGGGAGGCGGTGGTTGCAGTGAGCCAAGATCATGCCACTGTACTCCAGCCTGGGCAACAGAGCAAAACTCCATCTCGAAAGTCAAACAAACAAAAACAAACAAGCAAACAAAAACAAATGGGGAGCATTTTTAAAAAGAGCAGAGGCTCCTTTTTTAAAAGAGCAAATCTCAGGCTTTTACTCATATCCCCACCCCACCAAAATATTTTGATTTGATTGTCCTGTGTCAGAGCCAAGGCATTAGTTCATTTTAAAATCCCCCTAGGTGAGTCTCATAGGCAGCCATGGTTGAAAATTGCTGATAATTGATAAACCTTATGGTCCAATCAGTTGGGAATACTTGAAACATATTGTGCTCCCCTACAGTTTTACCTGGGTAATTCCCCTTGCCTGCAACCTTCTTTCTCCTGTATTTTTTCCTACAGAAAACACATGATCACTTATTGGATCCTTCCAGTTAGAAGGAGTCAGTCCTCCTCCTGGAAATCCTTAATACTACCTAATATATCGCATTCATTCATGTGATCCAGGCAGACCCTGTGTTAGATGTGGACAATATGGAGAGAAAGAAGACAAGGTCCTTGTCTTTAGGCAGCTGACAGTGTCGCCAGCTCACTGGCTACACACGAACCAGCGAGTATCAACTTTTATGGTAGAAGTGTCCATGGTATACTATTTCAGCACGAAGGAGTATATTCTGCTTGGTATAATAACAATTTGTGTGTGTCATCTCTTCTATCAAATGGCATACTTTCGAGGGCTGAGATCAAGCATGTCTCACCTTCACGTATTTCAAAGACCACAATAGAGTAAAATGTTTGCTGAATAAATGCGTGAATGAATGATGTTTTGATAATTAGAAGTCATTGGGGAATAACAGCAGCTCTTAGGAAATAGTACCATAGTTCCACACTTGGGGGAGGGATGGAGGTGTCCCACTGGAGTTCACAGACCCATGTACAATTTTTGGTACTAAATTATGTGTGTTTTACAATATCTCTCAATCACCCGTTCTGTGGTTTACTTAAAACGGTAATAGGGATAGCATGCTAGAAACTAGGTCCTGTACTTATGAACAAAAAGAAGGAAACAGCAGGCATTGGGGTCTGCCTGAGGGTGGAGGGTGCAAGGAGCGGGGAGCAGAAAAGAGAACTATTGGGCACCGGGCTTAATACCTGGGCGATGAAATAACCCGTACAACAAACCCACATGACACACAAGTTTATGTAACAAACCTTCATTCCCCTTTTTAGGTACCCCTGAACCTAAAATAAAAGTTTAAAAAATTAGATTTTAGAATATATTCAAAGAGTAGGATAATATTTTTCAACTGAAAAAAAATCTGAATTCGTATTTTTAAAAAATTTTTTAAGACTTTAAGTTTGATCAAGGCATTTACATTCTAGAACAAAAGCAAAAGCAAAAGCAATATGCATTCTAGATTTATCAACTTTGCATACGTATTTTAGGAAGATTTTTGAGAGATTTCAAAATAATATCTAAAAATGATGACTTAATTTTAGTAAAAAGAGACTCCCAGTTTCTTGCCAACTACTATAGTCTGAGAGTGTTTAGATTAAAAAATATGTGTGTAAAATTATCACAGGAAAATCAATAAATCAATAGTAGCACCAAAAAAGAAAAACAAAAAGAAACTAGGTCCTGTTTCTCATGACTAAGAAGTCGACAGTGGTTTTTCCAAATTAAGACTCGGCACCTTTGATTTTTGTAAGCATGTCCTAGAGATCAAGCGTGAGTGTTTGATGACAGATGAGGAGAACTGAGAGGGATTAGGAGCGACAATTGACCTTGCCGTGATTCTCAAGTTAAATCCTTGGGCCTCTTAAAGATGTTGTTGATAAAGCT